TAAATAATCAATTACTATATTACAATAATAAATAATTCATTACATATTATACATATAAATTTATATACCTATGAAACATTGTGCGCCAACTATTACAATGCAATTGGATAAAAAAACGATATGAATGTAAAAATATAAAAATCTTGTCAATCGACGCTCGAAGCGAAATTACTGAATTCGCGATCCTGGCGCTCGTATAATGCAATATTCGATGCGTTATTACAACAAACCTCGAGTCAACTTTCCCAGACGACATTTTACGAAATAATTTTTCGCGCGTGGGAAGATTCACTTTTAGACGACAGCAATCGCGTGAAAAGTAGAGGAGCTCTGGCTGGTATTCATAATTGGTTCTTATTTTAAGACTGTCTTAAGATGTTAATACAGTTCTCTGATTGGTTCGTGATTTCTAAAAATTGTACTTAAGATTGTCTTAAATATAAAACTATGACTATCCTTTGCGTTGCGTTTGGAGGCGTTTTTCGTAATCGACATGACTCAATAATTGTTTGTCAAGAAACGACATTGCGAGGTATCGAAACTATCAATATTTAGCGCCAACTTCACGCAACAGTTCTGTTCAATGTGGAAACGAAATTTCGAAATATCTCAATACAAAAAAAGATTATCGAAATAACAAATTAATTGTTACAATTTGTATGTTTTTTTTTTGTATAGAATGCATTGAATAATATTGAAACATTGGAGCATTGACATTAATATTGATCGAGAGATTTCGTAATTAATTCATACGTGGAAATGCGTATAATACTATAATATGTCATGCTATAAATATTAAATATGCATATATTAAAAAATATATCATTTTTCATCCTTCTTCTCATATTAAAGGAGTTTTTTCAAAGGAAAAAAGAATAAATCGTGAAATTTATGTTCATTATGAATTAAGTACTCAGATAATATGACAAATGTGTTAATTGATATGAAATGATCTTTAATGCGCGTCAATGCCTGCACTTGATCACTGAATTCGTTCTATTCATTATATTCATATTGCTCACGTGAGATGTTAAGGACTTCGCTTTATAAATTTGCTATAAGCTTTATAAATGCATAAATGCTATTTATATACATAATTATTATATCGTATCTTTGTTTTATACCTAAACAATGAAGATAGAGTGACACAAATAGCGTTAATATAGCGTCTCTCCGAAATGTACCTTATAATTAGGGAATTTTTGTAATGTCGTTTATCCAGATACGGTAAACGCTAAGATCGTTATCTTCTTCTTAACAACTAATTAAGAAAAAGATAACGAGAAAAAGATAAGATGATTTTAGCATTCACCGAACCACGTTATTGCAAAAACTCCCTATTATTATACATATTTAATGCAAATTGTTTCACAATTTAGGAAAAACTTTTGTATTTATCTTTATCTACCAAAAAATATATAGATCAAATGTTATCAATCTTTATTTAAATGTAAATAATAAAAAACATAATTTTTTATATATTTTTTAAGTCACATGAATATAAAAGGCAAGAATGAAGGATTAAATTAGGAATTAGGAATGTACAGCCAGAAATGTTGCAATTCCACCTGTCGAATTAATCATCTGTCAAGTAAATCGGAATTTTAGCCAAATTAAATCACCCTAGCGTTGAACGCATGGTAGCCAGCTAAGCCAGCTAAGCCAGCCCTCCCTAACCCGACTTGTCAAGTATCAGAGTAGCGCGGCAATGGAAGGAAATCAAGTCAAGAATAAGTGGCACAGCGGTTGGGACGTCTCTATTCGTGCGTTCACAATCACGCAATAGTAGCGGACAGATGATAGATAATCGCCGTGCCGTCTTTCATAAGTCAGCGAGTCGCGCGGCGAGCGGTCGACACCGACACGTAAGCGCGAAAAAGTGGTTGGACCGGATCGCACGAGGAGGCCGAGGAGGCCGGAGATTGAAACCGGTAATTGATATCCCACTTCCCAGTTTCCCACTTGAAGTCTCCTGAGATTCGAGGAGATTTGGATGACGTTGGCGCGCGCGCGGCGATGATGCCGAGCGTCTTCGAACGATCGGCGTGAGATCCTTGATTCCCTCTCGCGTACCTGCGCCATCGGAGATCGTGACTCGTGACGGTCTCGCTGCCTTGGTTAACCTTTAACCCTCCGATCTTACACGCATCCGATCTCGCAATGGTACACGTTATGCACTTCTGGTATATATTTTCTCCGCTCAGTGTCTCTCATATAATAATCGCCAATCATTTATTTTACTGTTTACGTTATTCGTTTGCGTGCCCGTCACACCGGACACGAAGAGATCGAAAGGCAGTGATGCAGAGGTTGGAACGATCACGAAGCGATTGCATGTAACGGAAGTAATTAACGCTGATCCGCTCCGTTGACTCGTTTGTGTCTCGAAATCAGCTCGCGTTATTCATTAGTTTTTCTATCTCGCGACGATTTTTGATATAATAATAGTTTCAGTGGAATACCGTGCGAATGAAAAACTATTACGTCGTGATTGAGATCTCCGAAATGTCAAGAAATCATTTTCTTCATTGAATGACGCTTGTGTAATCGTTTATTTCCGCAGGAAGTGATTCGTGCTTAGATTTTATAAGTTGCATATGTCATTCGAGAACACTGGAGTTACTGCTTTCCTTTTAGGAAACAGTTGACATAAATGTTGTTTACCTCTGTTATTCATTGAATATCAAGAAGGATAGGATATTGATTGCCTTCTAAAAAGAAAGTAGTCTTAGAAATAAGAATAAAGACTGTTGATGTTTTGTAACAAGAGATATAAAGCCAGTTCTTTTTCCAAGTCTTAAACTTCTTGCATAGTTCATCTTTCTTTTTTTATCTTTTTATATTAGAAAGAAAAAGACAAAAGATAAAAACTACAAGTTCAATCCTGGAGTAATGGAAAGTATCCTGGAGTATGGAAAAATAATAGGTCTACATGATATTATAATAACAGGTGTAACATGATGATCGTACTTCTATTTAACATTTGGCAAACAATAAAAATGTAATGATTCATTGTTGTATTGTATTGTACTGTCAACCGTATTTCTTGTTGAAAAACATCCTGTACAAAGTTTAAATATGTAAGTAAAATATCTTCCTCATGTACAATAAACTTTAACATTATCTATTATATTTACAGATTTCGTAATGTGACACATCGCAGATAGAAACTATCTGTTCAAAATGGCAGCAATTTGTTCTGGACGACCTGGCTGGTTAGGAAAACTCGGCATAGCATTGCTAGCCGCATGGTTTTTAGTACTGATTATTTCTATGATCCATATATTTAAATCCAACTCATTGTCAAGCCGCGATGCTGACACTGCCAACAAAGAGAATACACAACGCTTAACACAAATGGTTAATGACTTTGAAATTCTAAAGAAGCAGAATGACGCGTTAAAGAACTTCATATTAGGGTATGTTTGCGTACAACATATTGCATATATGAAAAAAGCGATGCTGAAAATGCAACATTTGAGACATAGAGTACTGCGATCTTTTTATTGTATAGGCTAACATAATTTCCAGAGAAGGGTCGAAATCTATACAAGGGGACCATTTAGGCTCCGTACAAGACAGACTCGAAAAAGCATCGGTCTATTATGATCTAATAGATCATCAAGATGGATCAAAGCATGGTATTCCTTCCTTGGAATATGAGGAACTGCGACGGCGATTGAGGAATGATATTCAGGAGATGTGGTAAATATGACTATCAAAATTAAAACAAATTATGCTTAACATGTTACACGAAAGATTACGTGCTTAGTTTTACACTACAGGTATTATATTAACGCTGAGTTAAATAAATTCAAGAAGCACATTGATGAATTCACATATGATCAAAGAGAAAAAGAGATACAGGATGTGATAAAAAATGCATGGGAGCACAAAAAGTCACTTATAATAAATATCGATAAGTTGAAGAAGTCAGATGGTTATGATGAATGGCGAAAAAAGGAAGCTAAAGATTTATCCGATCTTGTTCAAAGAAGATTTAGGTAATGCAGCCCTGATATATAATTTAATTTATATTAAAGTATTTAAGATTTCAAAACTAAGCTATCTTACTAATCTAATCTATCTCATATTTACTTTGAAGATATCTACAAAATCCTACTGATTGTAATAAGGCGAAGAAGCTAATATGTAGCTTAAATAAAGGTTGTGGTTTTGGATGTCAGGTAAAAAAATTAAATTAAATAATAATAATTAAATGATCAAATAAAAGAAGTGTTGTATATGTATGTACTTCTTTGCAGATTCATCACATCACGTATTGTTTCTTAGTGGCTTATGGTACAGAAAGAACTTTAATAATGAAATCTAAAGGTTGGAGGTATCACAAGGATGGTTGGGAATCTGTTTTCAAACCTCTTAGCGACACTTGCTTGTCTACAACTGGTACTTCACATTCTAATTGGCCTGGAGATCCCTCTAAACAAGTAATATCTCTACCAATTGTAGACAACGTTTATCCTAAGCCAAGATTTCAGCCACCTAGCGTACCTGCAGATTTAGCGCCGAGATTAGAGAAGATTCATGGTCATCCTTTAGTTTGGTGGGTAGGACAAGTATTAAAATACTTAATGAGACCTCAGGATCACGTAAAGAGAACGCTAGAGAAAGCGAAAGAGAGACTCGGTTTTAAAAAACCTATCGTTGGTGTTCATGTGCGTAGAACTGATAAAGTAGGTACAGAGGCAGCTTATCATGACATAGATGAATATATGATTAAAGTCGAACAATATTTTGATGAGCTTGAAACAAAACCAGACGTGAGGAGAGTTTTTTTAGCCAGTGACGATCCGAAAGTGATAACAACAGCTAGAAAACATTATCCGAATTACGAGATAATAGGCGATCCGGAAATCGCGGAAACGGCATCCGTAGCGAAACGATATTCAGATACCTCGTTGCAGGGAATAATTATCGATATCCATCTTCTGTCGGAATGCGATTATTTGGTGTGTACGTTTAGTTCTCAAGTATGTCGCGTCGCGTACGAATTGATGCAAACCTTTTACGCGGACGCGTATGACAGATTTGCTTCCCTCGATGATATATATTATTACGGGGGACAAAATCCACATCCCCACGTTGCTATTTTGGATCACAAACCGAGAAAGAACGGAGAGTTAGAGCTAAAAGTCGGAGACTTAATCGATGTTTTTGGTAACCATTGGGATGGTTTCTCCAAAGGTTACAACACCAGAACTAGCATGACAGGATTATTTCCCAGTTTCAAAGTTAAAAATCCCATTGATGCTGTAGATTTTCCCAAGTATTCGAATATTCCTTTGCTGGAAAATAAAGAAGATTAAATAAGAATGACCGAGCCAAGTCATTGTCTGACAGTGAAATCTCTCGAGTAAATCGTTATTTCTTTAGATCGACTTCTTTAAGATATTAGCAAAGATGACATGTATATATTTTGCTATTGTAAATTACGATTTTAATGCTTGTAAATTGTCACAAATGCCATGACTTGTTAAATAAGAGATAGTATCTGTCTTTTATGATTACATTGGATTTTAGAAAGATTCCAAGTGTAATTTTTCTCGAATAATGTGGAGACACCATTTTTCTAACATTTAAAAAACTCCTTTTATATGAAATTACATTATAAATTAATACTGTGTAGATATAGCACTTATGCATAAGGTAAATTTGCAAATATATAGCAATGCAGTATTGTAATATTTTAATATATTTTCGTTGAAGTTATGAAATGTGATTGTTAATTTAATCAAAAAGATTTAATTAAGAGAGATTGGTTTTGCTGAATCATTATATTTGGAAATATAATTATTCGAAATATATAATATTTCGATATTCTATCGGCAAATCAAATTTGTTCCATATGTACATAATATAGATATGATAGACTGAAAAAAAATTTATCACTGCGCGTATTAAAATAGCTGACGTTCGTGCCAATGCAATATTGTGGAACATTGTTTACATTGACTGAAATTTAATGTCCCTGAAAAATACGTAATAATGTAGAAATTTCTCATATATTGCGCGCTCCTTTATACTTTGTAAATAAGAGCCTGAAAATACTAGTGAATAACTTATATGAATGTCACAAAAACGAATTGTATAATATGGGATGTTCCAATGAGGTATTGTATATTTTGATGAAATAGGAATAGAGATTCGTAATGTGTCGCTAAAATGTACAGACTTTTGGGACATTCTGTATATTTTACATATATATATATATCATTTAAACAGTTCTAGCTTAATGTATTATGCCATGTAAATACATCATATATATGTATATGTATACATATATGTATATATGACATTTTACATAAGTAAGTGTATGTATATAATAAGGCATTTGCGCATATGACATTGAGCTAGGCTTGAGGCCTACATTCAATATAGAAGAACTTTCCTTATATGCATATATTGTAATATATTTTGTACGCAAAACGCAAACAAGAATTGTTATTATAAAATTCGAATTTGATTTTGACTAATAAATATTTAATTCATGAAATATACTATGTATGTTTTTTTATTAAAAACCATGTAAAGTAAGTTGCTTTAAATAAGAATAATCTTAAAACACGTTTATTTGCACATTACGTTCCAAAATATTTGATAAATTTTAATTATAGTATTGCGATGATGATTTTATAAAAAAAATCGAAATTTTTTATTATATTGCCAATTCATTTCTGTATTACAATACTTTATATACATAAAAGATGATCATTAATAGTAATTCATTATACACTGATATAAAACTTTTTACATTATTTATTTATAAAGAAAACTACATTAGTAATCACTTTTAGTCGTGCATATAAGCTATGCCGGATGGGATATTTAGAGTGTTACAAATCGTTGTATCTGAAAATATTCGTCGAATCAAAAATATATTTGAACAAAATTATATGATTTTTCAAGGGAAACAAATTCGATCAATCAATATTGATAAAATCAATTTTTTAGAAAACTTGACTTTTCAACATAGAGGTCGTCTCCGCTTTTTTATAATGAAATGATCTTTTTTTACATAACTGATTTCCCTAATTCTGCATACATAAATATTAAGATAAAAATATCGAAAAATTAATAGTTTACAAGATATATTATATTTTATTCCGACACATTTTGACATGAAATAGAAAGTATCTCATAAACTATTCATTTTTTGATAAATATATCTTATCTTTATGCGCGGAATAATGAAGTGAATCAATTGATGTAAAAAAATGGTTATATATATAGTTACATAGTTTGTAACATTTTAAATTCCCTACTCTGTATAAAGAAAAACAATCTTATATTCTTCTTTTCAACCAAAAAAACTTTGAAAATACAATAATAAAATTAATTTTAATAGCAAAAGCAACAAAAATGATCAAGAAGCACGTTTTCGCAAATAATTTCACTATATTAACCGAAGAAACCCGAAGAAGTGCAGATCTAAACACATGTGAAAATAGGCAACATTAATCATCTCGTGCATAACGCGAATATTTATATTCAATTATTATTATTAAAGTATTCAGTATTTTTTTTCTCTCTCTCTTTTTCTTAACTCGTGATCGATATTCATTTATATAAAGCTCGAGTTACAAAATCCTTGCAATGCAATAAATACAATAATTATCTTTAACACTTATTTTATAATTTTCGTTTTATACATTGTTCGATAATAAATGGCAAATTAATGAGATCGTAGTGAATTTAGAAATATTTACATCTACTTTGAGTCTTCAACTCATGATAAACTAAATTTTAAAAGATATAAATAACTTTTATCTCAATATAGAAAATATCCTTATAATGAACATATAACGATTTTACCTTGAATTTATTTGAATCAACATTCCCCTTTTAAAGAGTAAATTCAATCGAATTATTACTCCCAACTGCTTTCAACTGTATTTTCATTTATATTTTCTTTCAATACTCAGTATTCAATACTCAGTATTATAACCATGAATTCACGTTCATCAATAAAATAACTGATTTTATCAAACGGAACTGAAACTATTTTTTTTATAGACTTTGTATACATTTTGATCGCGGTACATAAAATGATGTAATTTTATCGATAAATCATAATATATGCAATTGAAATAGTCAGATCAATTTCCAGTGTGAAAGATGTAAATACCAAATACTTCACAAATATTGACTAGGTTTTACAAGATATAATGCAACGAGCTGATCATAACAATCAGAAACAAGAATTTTATATATATAATTAATATCATTTTTTATTTAACTTATTTTACAAATTCAAAATATATCACAACTGGATATTTTAACGATAGATACTATACATAAAAAGGACCAATGATTATTTTAATATCGAGGGATTAATATATTTTTTAATCAAAACCGATTAAAAGGTTTTCAATGGATTCTAAGTTTGGAAATGTAAATAAATAACAAAACGGTATTCTCTGTTTATTTAACTTTATTTAAACAGAATTATTTAATATTTGTTTACGCGATAAGTGATGTTAAGAGGTAAATAATTCCGATAAATTATAATCAAATTTTTATTCGAAAAAAATCGATTTTAAAGTTCCAAGATCTATCATTAAAATATTTTTCGTTGAAGTTATACTACTTCGTAGTAAATTACAATTTATTGTCACAATAATACTACTATCATATTTTTTGCAATTTTCTGTTTGAGTCTGTATGTTATATATACTGAAAATGAATAATTTCATAATCCTAAATTTTAAAACTTCTGATGATATTGTAGAATCACTGATAATATGTTCCTACAAAATCCCCGACAATTTTATCACAAAACTAATTATCACTATAATATATATATATCTATAGATGTACATGTGTTTTTTACTATATAAAGATAATTTTACGAAACAATCATGATCAAAAAATAACTGCAGACATGTTAAAAATTGGTAATATTTGTTTTCAATTAATTTAACATTTAAAAGGTTTTTATGTTAACATAATGCATGGAAAATAACGCGTAATATGCGCGTAATATGCGTGTAATATGCGTGTTTCATCCGTTATAATCCACATTACATGACTTTCATTTAATACAACTTGAAAGACAGTTTGGTAAATCATAAATTAACAGAAAAAATAATCTACTCTGATAAGATAAAAGTCAATGAGAGAGGAATACTGGAAATTGAATTCTGACTTCGCATTAAATAAGATTTACAAACAACATTGTAGCATCCTTATATAATGTGAATGATACATTATTGGGCCCTTCCAATTTGCTAGAATGACTATACCTGAGAAACGAACGTCTCATATTTATGCTAGATAGCCAAGAGATTGGCTTTCATCTGTTTCATATAGGTTTCTTCACTTTTGCAAATCAATTCATATACAAATAAAAAGCAGATTGAACACACTTCTCATCCTCATAAACTTTAATGTTGTCACTCTGCCACATTCCGCTTATTGATTTTGCGTTCGTCGTTCTCCAATGATATTTTCTAATTTCCGTGCAACAAAAGTTGTAGTTTTTTTAGGAGGAGATGTACTTTCTGTCATTTCTACATCCGTATCATCAGAAAGTAATCGTTTTCCTACACTCTTCTTTTTTGCGTCTACGCATATCATCATCTTATTGATAGCTTCTAAATCCTGAAAAACATTAATCATAAAGAAGAGTTAATTTTCAGATATTTAAAGAAAAACTAGTTATAAAAATTATATTTTAGTTTACAAAATATTATTTTACCTTGGCAGGACTACGACTGAAGCAATAACTTAATTGCGGCGCCGGTGACGCACTTATAGCCTTCGGATCTAGAGTGCGTGTCATAATACTACCAGTAACACGTCTTACTGGAGAATTAGCAGGTGCTTTTCCTTTCGGTAAAGGACTCAGCGAGAGATTCATGACGCTACCGCGAGCCGATCCAAATTTATTTGCAAATTCCTTGACTTGCGGGACATACATCGTGTTATAGAACTTGATTAGATCGCCGCGTATCTCCCCATCGAAGTTTTGTGACGTCCCGGCCATATTTGTTGGTGTCGGTGGAGTTACATTTTCTGTTACTGACATACTATTGTCTTCCGATCTTTCGTTACTACTCGTCTTCGAATCTCCGTCATTAGAAACTTTTTCGATAAGCACCGATCTATATATATGCGATTCAGCCTGTGGCTGTAGACGATAACACCGCATGATTTCAGTGAATGAGTTTCTTTCTATCCTGACCAATTTACATATTACATAAATTGCACACATTAAGATCTGATCAAGATGTCGATCCTTCATCAATTTGGTACGTTCCTTGACGGAGTATTCGAAAATCGTCCAGATCTTTTTCTTATCGTTGTCCGATATTTCCAATGAATTGCACAAATCCTGCATGCGTACGCACGCAAGATTGTAGAACTTTCGAAAGAACAGCGCGACAGAGCCTGTTCTCTTCGGTTTAGCCGCGTCTTTGTTCGTCGCTTGTGTGGAATTATTTAACGCTTGCGTGCTAGATGGTTTAGAAACGACAATTTGTTCAGGAAGCAGAAGTATCCTATGACCATTGTCCACTAACATTCTGTTAGTAGATAACACACTCTGTCCGACACGAAGGACACTTTGACCGGTGACCCTAGTTTCGGAAAATAATCGCTTCTTTGCTACACCAGATGCTGGGACAGGAGACTGAAATCTACATATAACAATATATATTATTCTTTATAAAAAAAATTTTTTGGTAAAGAATACTCAAGAGTTTATAATTTTTCAAAATCGTTAGATTGATGATTTGAAGAAAAAAAGCTTAATATCTATATTATTATATTATATTAAAATAATTTTCTTAATCTTTCTCTACATCGTGTATACATTTATTTATAGTTTTTGGTTAAACACTGGATGATTAAATTATACCTTTCCGAAGCGGATGAAATCGGACTTTGTTGAACATCATGTTGAGTACGTTCTCGATCTAAAGCAATTCGTCTTAACACAGGTTGTCCAGGCGCATTTGGATCAGCAGTTTCCAATGTACCAGGCAAAGAAACTTCTTCGCAGCTTGGCACACCATCCAGCAAAGACTCGATAGTTTGCCACAAAGGACTGTCACTTTGCCACGCCAGAGACTCTAAAATCTTCTCCTCGATATGATTCAAGTGCTTAACAACATCCCGTGACAACTGATCCTCAGCTCTTACTATAATTTCTATAACCTTATAGAAATAGTAAGCATCCAGATTCAGAGCCTTCAGTATCCAAGGGAATACCTTGTCGTTACTTTTATATGAATATATAACTATTTCCAGACAGCAAGCAAACAGGCATTGGATAAAAACTGCATTCAAAAGGAGATTCTGTAACAAATAATTATTATGATATAGCATATGAATATGCTATACTTCAATGATCTTTTAATCTATAATTATCTTCATTTATATATACATACATATATATATATAATATATATATATATATATATGTATATAAACTTACAGTTATATCGTCATTCGGCTTTTTACGTTTCTCGTCATTTAGAATCATTTCTAAAAGCTTGTAAAACAGAGTTTGTCCCATGAGAAGACGCTTTTTTCCAAAGTCGGATGTTGAACCATCATTTACATTGGTGATATTTGCATTATTATTATAGTTTGCGCAAAATTGCTCACCAATTTGTTTAACTTTTGCCTCGAGTGAGGACTTAACATCTTGAGAACAATTGTTCAATATTTGTAATAGACTTTCACTGGGAGCAGATTGTCCAGCTATCAAAGCTTGTAATTTAATGACGCTTTGAGTGGCTGTAGTCACTGGTGTTATATTAGACATATCCTTCGATCGAAGATATTTACGTCCAGTTAATGGGGTAGGAGGTGCCAGATATTGTATCTGCTAAGAAAAATAAACAGTTACACAAGCACTATACATAAGAAAATACAATATACTTGCACTACTAATCAAATAAAAATAAATATCCTTAAAACTTACCCCAGCATGCTGTTCTCTTTGCATTTGCAATCTTTCATGAAAATCATCAATGTTCATCATTTGTGTAGGGGAACCAATATTTTCATTAGCGTTGTGGCCTGAAACCAAAAATCACATATTTATAAAAATTTGTGCTTGTAATCTAAAAAATAATAGGCACAGGGCAAGTTTGTTTAAGAAAATATATGATTAGTAGAAATTAGTTCAATTATTTACAAAACAGAAACATTCACACAAGATATAGACCCACCTTGTAAGATATCATATTTAATAAATTGACCATGCTTAGCATTGTTTTGCTCAAATATATTTGAAATTGATATATTGTTCAAAATTAATCTCCTCCATTCTGCTACAAAGCAATCACAATAAAGCAAATACACAAATTTGTATAAATAAAAAAATAAATAAATAAAAAAAAACCCTTAACAGGCTAATAAGTTGCTAAATGTATCTTCTTTTTTGGCTTTTCTTTTTTTATCTACAATCTACAAGTTCAGATAGCTTTAGTGTTCTATATATTACACACACACACACACACACACACACACACACACACACACACACACACACACACA